AGGTAGATTTGTGTAAATATCATGTCTTGATAATATTGCTTTCAATTGGTATATTACTTTCGAGAAGAACAAATAATCATCCATCTTGATTCATTTCAAGAGATTTAATCAGAAAAGAGACCCTGTTTTAATAATCGAATTCAACCATTCAATTATCTGTATTATCAGTGTGTAAAATTCATTCTCTTAAGTAGTTATTTGAGAGCAATGATTAACAAATCAACAAAATTATTTGAGAGCAAATGTTAGCGTATTCAAGGTGGGCCAGAAAACATCCACATTTTTGCATTTTGGAAATTATATAATTGAATGATGAATCTCCACAGCAAAAATGTTGTTGAAATACCCGCGAGTTATTGAAAAGGTAAAGGAATAATAAAATATGCGTATTTTTGAGCCCAACCTGTATTTTACAGAATTTTGTATTTTTAACATCAATTTCTTGGCTTCTCAAGATACCAAGCAATGTTGCTAGTCCAATAGGAGTTACCACAGCTTGGTATTTTGTGTATGTATCAAGTTGTGGGATTTTTGCAATTGTATTTGACCCACGCTCAAATTGAATAATCTAATCAAAGTGTGATGAAATATCTTGATTAAACTTCATATCACACTTTCTCCTGCACTTTAAGATAAGATTAGCTCAACAATGTACTATGTGTAATTCTATATAGTTCACGTCGATCTGCAATATTGGATTATAACCCGATAACCCTCTAGGGGTATATACACCCCTCTCCATAAGTTTGAGAGCCAGACGTCATCGGGTAGCATACCAAAGACTGACGGTGTTTGAATCTTAATTTTGTTGCCGCCGGAATTACAACAGTTCTGTTATATGCAAGGAGGATTGGCTCCCAGAATCGAAGTTGATATTTTCCAACAAGGAAAACGTCGAAATGTCGTTATTTTCTGAAATTATAATCGGTTATAAATTCAAATTAAACAATTTAAAAGATTCAAATCAATATCTCCATCATTTCTTGTGAGTAAGGAATTTTTCGTTAGGAAATAAGACCAAAATTCACGATTCAAATGTTGAAGTGAACAAAATGGCGGCAGTTAGAATTCGAATTTTGAAGCACGACATCCACATATATGGGGCAGAATATCGATGATGCACTCTTGGAGCCAATCCTCCTTGGTTTTATGCAGTTTTATGACATATTTCATGATTTTTTCCAAATAGCAAAATAATAATCAGGCTTTGATCCAACATTGACTTCCGGTTGCCAAACGTATGGAGGGGGGGGGGTGTACTCTTTCGTCTGTACAGTGATCCCACATTGGATGCTTTTTTCTTTTTTATACTAAAGGAGATGCCTTCTTATTATTTCATACAAAATCAGTACAAAATCGAATTATCGAAGTATTATGAACTATTTTTGTGAGTAATGTACTTATAGTTAAGCATGTAATGTCAATATTGACCAATCAGAACACAGTATAACCATGCATGAACTTAGTCTTATGAATGGGTACAATTTATATGCATGATATAGCTGTATGCACAGTTTGTATATCCATTCACATTGCCACGGTTTCACATATCAATGCAATTGCTTCGTTTGCCTCGTGCTCGACTGCCCTTGAATCAGAGTGGTGGAACGTTTCATCGTGATGTCTCGTTGCTTGTTGTCTTCCGTTAAGGTGGACAGAGTGGTTGAACCTTATAATCATTGGAATAAAACCCAAAGGACAATAAAGACGACCAAAATTCATCCAACAGGGATGTGTGTTTATAACTAATGTACCCTTAACAATTGGAGTAATTCAATCAATTACTAATGGTAAAGTCACTTTGAAAGAGGTGTGTGCGGGAAATCCCAATGAGGTGAACCAAAATCATATATATTAATCATTTAAACCGGCCGATGTTGCACTTTCCGAGAATTATGCCTTGGTCACATATGCTGCGATTTTCACTACGGCGCCCGAGCGATTGAGTATTTTGTTCAAAATTGAATACAATATTGAACAAAACACTCAATCGGGCAGGCGCCGGCCGATGGATCGGAGCAAATGTGACCCAGGCATTAGAGGGGGTTATTCGTAAAACACTCAAATAAACCATTACATAGGGAACGGGAGCCTACACGTGTTGATTAAACGAGTACATATGGGACCAACGCCCCAACGCCCCAATATCCCAAAATCATAATTAAAATACTAAAAAGTGTTACTATACAGAAAAAAGTCACCCGAATATTTTATTCATTCCAATACATGTTGAAGAACAATCAAAATGAAACCAAAAAACCTGAACTTTAAAACAGCTGTGGCTATTTGAACTCCCAAAATACAGTAATAGTGGGCATGCAATGACACCGAAAAAACCCATTTCAAGAACAAAATAAGAAACTATTAATCAACCAAGGGCACTTTAACAAGCGTTAATTGATGGGTACTAATTAGACAGAATGGAATGTCTCTTGACAATTTAGTAATTATGAGGCTAATGTAGTCTTGAACAAGTTAGTCAATAAATACTTTTACTATTTACCAGATCCCTGACACATAATCGTTAATCTTCAGTGAGTCGTTGACACCAGGGCATTGGCATTATCTGTCATTGTCGCATCTCTTTATCGTGTATTATGTAAAATTTCAAATTATGTGGTGTAGCAAACAAGTATATGTTTACTCATTTAATAAATCTCATTCAATTAATGTATTGCAAATCCATATATATACCTCAGAGGTTTAGAACACTTAGTATAGCATTAATTTACACCCTGGCCCCAAAAACAGTTAACTGGCATTTCATAACGATAGTTTGGAGTAGTACATAAAGTGCGGTTACCGGATCAACGTTTTTTGGGGATTTGATACCGAGGGGCGGGGCCGGGGACTGTAATTGGGGTGCATACTTGTTTAATTCAGCCGTGTACTATATTGGATGAATCATGTTTAGATACAACCTTTAAAAGTAATCTTCTAATAAAATCACTCGGGCGAGAATTAGGTTCCTGTAAATACCAGGGGAATGACTACAAAAGATGATTAATATAAAACTTACTTAAAATTCGTTATGGTAAAATACGTTCTAGCTGTATTACTCCTTTGTTAGATGAGTCAAATGTATGTTTGGAATATAAATTCATTTTTGATGTAGCTTGAATACATGGGATCTTATTGATACAACTATTGTTTCAACATATTTTGACATATGAGGACATTAAACTCGTGTGTATTAATCTTTGATTGGCACACACTATACACACATATTAATTAAATACAATTAAACGTGTAGTAATATACATTCTCAAATATTGAATAACTTCAATAATTACTCAACAATGCGCAGCCAGACAGCAAAGTTACTTATGTACTTCTAAACGTTAGAATTTGCAATATTTAAACGATCCATTCTCTCAAAAACATTCATCAAGATTTTGAGATGCAATATCATAATCACCAGTTCAGTATTCTCCAGTAAATCAACCATGCACATAAACTTTTATGCGCTTCATTGTGTAAAGTGATTACAAATGCTTCTTTGGCATGCTAAGCAGCAGTTCTTAATGGTAAACTATTGCAAAAAGCGTTATCTACGGGAACAGTAAAACCAATTAAAACTTCTACAGGGAACAGCTTAAACAATATTAATGAATGATGCCATTAGTAGGGAAAATGAAAATGGTTTATTTCATATCGATGTTGTAAAAATAGGGCAATGTCAGAAGTATAGAAGGAATATAAGATTATACTTGTGTATACATTTACATTTATGAATATTTCAGGTGAATAAATCAAAAAATTATAACAAAATTATATAGCATTTTCCATATTTATAATTGTATTACTACTTTGTAAGATGAGTCAAATTCATGTGCTGAATACCAATTCATTTTTGATTTAGCTTGAATACATGGGATCTTATTCGTATCATTAGTCTTCTTTATTCATCGTATTTTTGGAAAAAAAGAGTATGGTAGACGGAAAATAGAACCACAGATCTCAAAGATTGCAATGGTGATCACAAAGACAGAAACGTTTACGCTCTCTGAAATTCTATTATATTTCAAAAGTTATTACATTAAAATCGACTGCTACTAAATGTCTGCATCTTTTTTGTACCCTTGAATCGTGACACTGTCGTTTTTGGAGATGTAAAGCACGTGTCGTTCTTCATATTACATAGTGTGGTCCATTAGTAGATTGCGCTTATAATATCTCACGGATATTGTTAATTTTGTTAAGTTATAAGCATTTATATATTACTCAGTAAGCGTTTCTTTATGGGATAATAATAATGTTCTCGCTTTGTTGCAAATCGTCTATTTCGGAATTGTAAACAATGTGTGAACATTATCAGTGATTGATATAATTCTTTGTGGGTTAATGGTTGAATGTTGTAAAAGATTAGTTATGCTACAAATGGTTTTTATTAATCAAAACGGAAGAGCTACACAAAAATACACCAGTAAATGGGAAAGTAAGGTAAATGAAAAAGCATGAATTGATACTCGATCGTGTATTTTATGAAGCTGTTATACATCTATTATACGTCTAAACTATTGTAGCTATCCGAACAATTGAAAACTGCTCACTCTCTCGGGTCTAATAATGTATCACAAAATCTGACAATCTGACACATTCTTAAATGTTCCTAATGAACCCGTGTTTATTGTATTTACTTCATCTGCACTTATTGACCCATTATACCTTGTTTCATTGAACAACACAATTTTTAAAGGATGAGTCATTTTAGTAGAAGAGTTGGTTCAAATGACAACGTTTTATGTTGTGACTTTAGGGAAGGAACAGTTACAGACGAATTGGGATAACCAAATAGATCAATATGGGGTTAATTTTGCATTCCTCGTCTCGCGTCGTGCCTATTTTCTAAAACAAATCTGACTATAATTCATAAAAATACGTTTTGTATGCATCACACTATACTTTCTACACATTATGTTCCTTGTAAAAGTTTAATAATATACAAAAAAATTAAAAACAACACATAATCAAACTAATGCAATAATGATTCCACGTACCATAATCTCCTTTTATGACTGTCTTTGGTGACCATCTTGCTGACCTTGCCTCAGTCCGTAACAATATATTCAGTCCGTTCATTATGAAGACTATGTCCGCCATTGAACACCTCATCATTTTCGTATAGGTGGCGCCATTGGTAAGCGTTCACTAGTGGGTTATCATTTCATCGTCTTTCTGAAAATATATTTTCATTATTCATACTCAGTAGTTGTATCATCGTCATAGTTTAAATGAATAATTGGTTTAAATGAATAATTGTTTGCATAATAAGGTGTAGTCATGCTAAATACCCAAGCGTATGTTTGTAAAAGTGTGTGTATCTTTCTCAATCATAAATGAATAAACACAAGGAGCACATGCGTCTCGAACACGCAACCTCGTGGTTACGGCGCCTAATCGCCTAGCTCGAACATGCCGGCGCTCAAGCCCTCTCGTAACAACATAAATAACATTTTCAATATTTTGTGTGATTATTCCTAAGCTTATAAAGAAGGTAAAGTGTGTATACTTTATACTATGATAGACAGCTGGAAAGCTTATTGGGTATGAAATTCACTGAATTCTACTTGCCTAAGTCGAATGATAGCCTTGCATTAAAAAAACTTCATATTAATTGAGAATCAAGATAATACCGACTTGAGCAAGGCTAGTCAAAGAATGTTTGTTGTGATAATACTGCAAATTAAAATAATATGACTGAAAATTCAATTCGTTGTAAATAAAACAATAAATAAGTTTAGTTAAATCGGTTCTATCGCTTCGAATCTTTTTGATTTGGCATGTAGGGATGTGTAGTTTCCATTACATTAACCACAACGGTTGAAATATAACATGAACTACGGTTACCTATGTCAATTGAGTTCAGATCATTGTATTGGGTTTCATTTGATTAGTTATGTGCATTACCTCCTCCAAAAGAATAAAATTGAATTAGAGAATAAATGAGAAACAAGTGTCTATTACTAGAGATTGGAATGGACATATTCCCTTTTGAGACATGGATTAGTTCATTTAATGTGACAGTTGTCACCCTGTGTACAGTCTCTACCTGGGGACTTGGAATTCAATAACAAATGTTGTTATTCCGACTTGCAATGCGTTTCATAGTGAACGTTCCTTTATACAACTAGGCGAAACCTAGTTCATATACCTCATATACATCATATTAAACTGACTATTTCCAGGACTACTAATAAGTCAGAACGTTTATATCTGCATTAGATAAAACTGAACAGATGGCGTTGGCTTATGTATTTGAGAAATATTTTGATTAAAAACTTTAAAAGGGATATCAATGACACAACATTGTAATCAAGAGGTCACGAATTCGAGTCCCGCGTGCTCCATACGTTTATTCAATTATATAGCAATATCCTCTTTATTAATATCCAGAGCAGGCGTGAAGCACCACATATAGGTTATAGTGACTTGAAGTCAATATTTAAGATTAAAGTAAGAAATATGACAATGAAAATACGTGAAGTATTACCAAAGTTCACTAAATCTCTGTTTAATCTTCTGGATAATCCCTTGGGTTTACTTTGATCTTTCTAAATATTATTGTCTATCATATAAGAGGAAGAATGTTCATAAATATGCACTTTCCTTTACTTTTGATTCTTTTATTCACAATGGCATGACGTCCATTCAATTCTTTTATAACTGTACATAATTTAATTAGATGCTGGGTAACTTTCGACTGGAACATTTTATTTAACTTGTAATCTTATAGTTGAACGAATGCTGACATAAACCCACCTATCCCACTTTTTATATAGTACATATTATGTTGTTTTACCCTTGCTATGGTCAAGGATTTAAGCCATGGAATCATGGCAATGTGGACTAAATCATTCCTTTAAAGGTGTTATTACAACTAAAAGATATGAAATCACTAAATAACATACTAGTATTTTCAGTAAAACATTTTTGCAATGGTCAAGTTGGCAAAGCATCATCGTCAACTTGTCGCCTTGACAACCATTAAAACGAATGACCTCGGGTCGATAATGGGTAAATTAATGCAGTGAAGTTATATGAAATACTGTGTTCGGATTGGCTGGAATCGGACACACCTTGCCTAACTACAATGTATGTGTGTGAGTATACTAAATGCCCCATTTTCATCTTGCATTCAATTAACCTCTAAATTATTCAATGCAGTGATGGGTAAATAATTAGCACACAATGCAATGTTACAAATTGAAATCGATCACACTGTTGGGAATTCAGCTCATCTTACAGAAGATGATGTTAACAATCAGCATAATTCATACCCTAAATTAAAAGTATTAAGGTCGCTTAAAATTAAAAGAAGTTTTGCACAAATGTTTCTGTATATTGTATAGTATTAATGTCATTATACTCTAGTTGAAAGAACCACTCGACTGTATGAAAAGTACCCTAAGAGCTCAATTAATTCATTTAGATTTTAACATCATTAATTTTTTTTCAAAAAATCCCAAGCGTTTCTTCATGTCTATCTTATCTATAGATACTCATTCTTTGGACGAGGTATTTATTTAAAAAATTCATGATTATAATTGTGTTTATTGTCAAGAATGGCAATAACTTTGAAAGTTTTGATATTTCGTTTGGACGTGCTAATGTATGGTAAACCTGGAAGATTCATTACCATTTTCATCGCTTTTTTATTATTGGTCTATGCATACAAAAAATGTATGGACAATTTTGATAATTTTACATTTTATAGACTTAAATGTCCTATTTTGAATATTCATAATTTAATTTGGGTGGCATTTCTATATTTTTCATAAAAAATTATTAGCCAAGGAGACTGTTCTCCAAACCAAGAATATTCCATCATTTTGATACTCCAAATTCTCAGCTTGAACTTATTTCTATTATCGTATGCACCAAGGCTGTATAATGTTACCTCTGCATGTGTTACACGATTATATTTGGTTTATTTGATTACCCAGGGGTGGACATTAACTTTATCAGACTGGCATTAACACACGGAACAGATTATCCTCCCATAGCACTCAAAATATTAATAAATAATCAACCCTCCTAGTCTACGTGATGCACAATGGTCGTTCTCCAAGTAAATGGATTTCCGTGTTGTGCTGTACATATTATATAGGAAAGTATGCACCGTTGGAGAATGTCATTATCTGTATGATCCAGTCCCAAACATCCGGCAATTGATCATCTAAGATATTAATATTTTATCATATAGTGGACTAATGATGTACTTTACTTTCTAACATGTTTTTGGTATCTAGAACAAGGTTACTGGTATTGAAATATAACACCCATATGACTGTCATACCCGGTATCGTATGTACTAATGCACCGGAAACTAGTTTTTCATATTCGCCCGACTGAGAACTACGATCTTGCATCAGACCAATGTATATTCCTCCGACTGATATACCAACCATTAAGATTGATTTTATAATGAGGGGGTGATGTTTGTGAATCGCATCCAGGGTGTGGGAAGTTTTACTATAAGCTGATAATATACACGCCAGGTTATGAAGGTGAAGTTTCCCCATATATATATGGCTATTGCGCATGCGTCGCGCGATCTGATTGGTCCATTCGCAAAATTAGGCGCTTCACTCTATTTTACGAATTTTGCAATGGTCTTACGTTTGTAGTATTATCTGGCCAGAATAGCAATATTGAGGTATGAGTTATTTTTCCTATGTCATTTAGGGTGTTAAATAGTTAACTCAGGCTTGTATGACTGTCAAAACTGTATAATTATGATAAAGATGCGTATAATATTTTTGAAAATATCAATATTTATTCTAAAATTACTTTCATGACTTCCTGATCCTTGATTGTACTTCTATTTTCATAATTTCCGGTTCATTGTTCTTTTAGGTCTTTCATGTGATGCTTCTATAACGGGAATATGTGATAAATAAGAATTTGAAGCAACAAGCTGCCAAAGATGACAGCCTCTTTGATTGAAGCCATACATTGTCCAATGTCTGCAACATCCTAACATCGTTTTTACTCGAGTATGAATAAATTCACCATCTCCATTACTATGCCTGGAACTACTCAATTACAATTACCCATGTGGCACTTATATATTACTTTTATGCTCAAATATGGGAAATCGTTCTGTCAACTTTTGAATGCGTTTTGCTTTGTTTCATTCAATATGGGATATAAGTTGTATTAGTGTTATTCTAGCCTGGAAAAGAAACATCCAATATAATACAAACAGTCTTTAATAAAGCAAATCCTAGTATCCGAAATGTGTTATATCGCACAGAGAGACATTTTTAACACCCTTACCCCTATCTTATACCTTCGTATTCAATATCACCATCCAAAACAATGAGAGACATGTGCAACACCATTACACACCTTCGTATTCAATATCACCATCAAAACAATGAGAGACATTTGCAACATCTTTACACACCTTCGTATTCAATATCACTATCAAAACAATGAGAGACATTTGCAGCACCCTTGCACACATTCGTATTCAATATCACCATCCAAAACAATGAGCGACATTTGCAACACTCTTACACACATTCGTATTCAATATCACTATCAAAACAATGAGAGACATTTGCAGCAACCTTACACACATTCGTATTTAATATCACCATCCAAAACAATGAGAGACATTTGCAGCACCATTACACACATTCGTATTCAATATCACCATCCAAAACAATGAGAGACATTTGCAACACTCCACACCTTCGTATTCAATATCACCATCCAAAACAATGAGAGACATTTGCAACACTCTTACACACCTTCGTATTCAATATCATAATCCTTAACAATGAGAGACATTTGTAACACCCTTACACTCCTTCGTATTCAATATCACCATCCAAAACAACGAGAGACATTTGCAACACCCTTACACACCTTCGTATTCAATATCACCATCCAAAACAATAAGAGACATTTGCAACACCATTACACACCTTCGTATTCAATATCACCATCCAAAACAATGAGAGACATTTGCAACATCCTTACACACCTTCGTATTCAATATCACCATCAAAACAATGAGAGACATTTACAACACCCTTACACTCCTATTCGCATTCAATCATCATCCAAAACCATAGGAGTATACGAGTAGAATATATATCACATAGGATGAAGAAAACAACTCAATTATTCAAAATCCATGCCTTTTCAAACTTGGTATGTTATTA